TCTCGCCCCAAGTAGCTAACTCTTACCCTGACCTTGACCCTAACTCTAACTTCTAACCCTAACCTAAAGGGTACACCACCATGTCCAGATAATTTTTTGATTTTTTTTTTTGTAGTGAAAGGTCTCGCTATGTTGCTGGTCTCAAACTCTTTGTAGGCTGGTCTCAAACTCTTGGGCTAAAGCAAGCCTCCTGTTTCGGCCTTCCAAAATGTTGGGATTACAGGAGTGAGCCACTGTGTCCTACCAGGACAAACCTTTCATTCTTGCACTCCTGCATTTAGCCCTCTCAACAATCCTATAGGAGAGGGTCTATTAGGATCCTTGTTCCTTGTTCTCTTAGAGACAACTGGGGTGTAAAAAGATAACTTGTAGGAGCTCTCATAGTGTGAAGTCTCTGGTCTGGGCTACCACCAGGCAGGGGCGGTGTTACAGACCACAGCAGAGTTTGCTGTTCCAACTGCACCTGGTAGGAGCATGGCCTCAGCAGGGTGGGGACCTCCTGAGTGGCAGGGTCTGGAGCCTGAACCTCGGCCTCCAAGTTGACTAACCTGCCTAGGAAGTGTGTGCCAAGGCCCTTCCGGGGTTGGGGGTCAGCGCTTTGCTGGCTGGGCAGAGGGAGCCAGGGAAGCTGGGTCTGCCAGGACAGTCAGTCGTTCGTGACAGGAGTCCGTGTTCAGGGCTTCATTGCTAACTTGGGCATATTGTTCATTCCTTGGGGGCATTTCCCATGGAGCTCCATCAACCAAATACTGTAAGGCTGTGGATGGGCAGAATTAGAATAAAATGAGTGGACCAGGCACAGTGGCTCACACCTGTAATCCCAGCACTTTGGGAGGCTGAGACAGAAGGGTTGCTTGAGCCCAAGAGTTTGAGACCAGCCTGGGCAACATAGTGAGACCCCGTCTCTACAAAAAAAAAAAAAAATAACGAGGCATGGTGGTGAGTGCTTGTAGTCCCAGCTACTTGGGAGGCTGAGGTTGAAGGATCCCCTGAGCCCAGGAGGTCGAGGCTGCCGGTGAGCTATGACTGTGACCCAGCCTGGGTGACGGTGAGACCCCAACTCAAAAAAAGAATGAATGGAAAGTAGAGTGTATTTCTCATCTACCAGGACCAAGGAGTCTGTGTCTGTGTTCAGGACCAGCAACCAAGCTTATGGGAGCAGAGCGCCCACCGTGCACGAGATGCCGGTGAGTGGGAATCATGGGGGAAAAGGGGAGGGAGGCACCTCAAGGTGTTTTGGAACAGAGCAAGGTAGACATAAGTGAATGAATGAATTTAAGAAGGGAACGTTGGCTGGGCTCAGCCTGTAATTCCAGCACTTTGGGAGGCCGAGGCAAACCCCTGAGCCTATGGGTTTGAGACCAGTCCGGGCAACTTGGTGAGACCTCGTCTCTACAATAAATCAAAAAGTTAGCCGGGCGTGGTAGCGGGCACCTGTGGTTCTGTCTACTTGGAAGGCTGAGGAGGAAGGATTGCTGGAGCCCAGCAGGTCGACGCTGGGGTGGCTGTGAGCATGCCACTGCACTCCAGCCTGGGCAATGGAGTGAGA